GGGGTCTAAGAAACGCCCGGAGACCGTGACCATCGGCTGTCCCTGATAGCGGCGGCTAATGGGGGGCATACGCACCAACGGGCTACGTTCGTCTTTCCATACCTCATGCCATGGGAACATGTAGACCAGACGAACATCTCCACACGAAGCTGGGATAGAACACGCGCAGCATGAATATCCGTGTCAAGCAACAATGGACGGACGTCGTTATCAAATACTGATCCTGGGGAGTACGTTCATAACTCCATACTTGAGAAGTTTACTATTGAAGAAACAACCACCGACGAACGTCGTCTCGCAACATTGAGAATGGCTACGGACGGCGGTTGGTGGTATGCCCGCACTTATAAGGCGGACGTCGCTATCCGAATACAGACGCCAGCACCGGCGCCGAGCGTCGTCAACCGAGGACGAGCTCTAGCGGAACAGATACGAACGTCCACTCGGACTTTAACCTTGCGTCAAAGTACAACGAGGCGCCGGAGGAGATTTCCACACAACGGACGATAAAGAAAGGAAAAATAAAGAAAAATGAAATCACGAACGTGGAGGCAATTTTGGACAAAAAAGCATGTATATTCTTCAGCTCTAACGGCTGGGCATTACAAGTCAAAATAAAAGGAAGTACAAGTTACATTTACACCATAAAAGGGGACTCAGGCCGGCTTCCTCCCGGAGTCTGCTCTTCCTCCTCGGCCTCGGGCTCAGGGGTCGGGGGTTCCGGAATTTCCCCTCTGGCCTTTGCTTCCTCCCGCCGTTGGTCCCTCCCCAGCTTCCCCAAGGCTTGAAGCAGCAGATCATCGTCTGTGTTCGCAGCCAGTTCGAAGTCAGCCCCTTGCAACCTCGAGAAAATGGGGAGAGTGGCCTTGACCCCCTCGTTGTAGCCGGCGGCGAAGGTGCTGTCGCCAACCTCATAGAGGAACTTGTGAGACAAGGGGGAGCTCTCCAAAATCCGGACCCCGCACGCCAGACGCTGCCGGGGCGGGATCTTCGCCAGCGCCGCAGAGAATACATCACCGAAGGCCCCGGCGCAATAATCCTTGGCAGAATCCATGAATTCCCCGGTGTTCCTGTAGCCGGAGGTGTCGACCAACCACTCCGGAGTGGCATCCTTGGCGGCAGGGAGCACCGGAACAAGCTTGAAACCGACTCTCTCAAGACCGGCCAACTGGCTGCGGGATTCAGCCTGCAGGGCTGCAATCTCCCTCCCCTTGGCTTCAGCCTCCGCCTCAGCTCGACGAGCGGCCTCCCGGGCTGTGGCGACAGCCGCATCGGCCTTGGCCTTGACCTCTCTCAGGTCGGCCTCCCGGGCAGCTTCAGCTTGAAGGACTAGAAGCCCAGACTGGATGAAAGGAGGAAAGACGGTTAGAAGATGAACGTCAAGGGAAAGATGTACTCGGATGTAGTAAAGAAGGGATACCTGAAGAGCGGCTGCCAAGGCAGCACTGGTCGCCTCAGACGACGAACGGCGGGGCAACTCAAGGCCGGCCTTGAGGGCCATCTCCCTCCAAAGGTCTTCCACCGGACGACTCAAAGGCAGGGAGCCGGCATCTTCGAGCAGAGGCCCGGTGGAGACTGCCTCGCGGCCCCTCTTCTGCTTCTTCTCGGGGACCTTCTCCGTCCCCTTTTGAGGAGCCGCCTTCGAAGGGACGACCGGCGGTGGAAGGGCAGCTTCAAGAGCAGGGGCCCCAGAACCCTGAGCCAGCATGGTGGCGATTAAATGCTGCTCACCCTCAGCAGTTCGTCGGGCAGCATCAGAAGCCGAGGAGTTGGAATCCGAGGCGGGGGCATTCTTGGCTTTCGCCATCGCGGCTTTAGCCGCAGCCGCCTTGGCCTTCCTGGTTTTTAGACACTCAGCGTGATTCATCTGGGCTCGATCTGGTGGAGAACCTGCAAGAAACAGTAAAGGGTTAAAAGACGAGCGGAGAATATAACAAGACACTCACCTCGGACAGGACCGCCCGGTGCCCCGAGACGAGCGTCGAAGGGTGGAAAAAGTCCAGGAGCACGGGCGGTACCTATGCCTGCCCCGGAGAGTGCCTCGAAGGTCAGGTATCCGGCTATAGGGCAGACGCCGCCCTCCAACACCTTCTCCACATCCCAAAGTAGATCGTCGGTCGGCTCCGGTGACTCAATCTTTGGGGGATAACCATTCCACCGAACCGGGAGGGGAGGCCCATCGTATCTAAGGAAGAAGAAGCGGTTCTTCCAGTCGTGGATAGATGAAGGGTAGTTCTTGAACAGCTTCCTTCCTGGACGTGCGGCCACGCTCAGATAACCGTCGGAGTTCTGGGGAGTGATGCGGTAGAAGTAGTGGAAAAGCTCCAGAGTGGCAGTGGCTCCCGCTAGTTTGCAGCGCACCAGAAAGGCAGATATGAACCTATAAGAATTTGGCATGAACTGCGCCGGGGCCACCTGGAAGCAGTGGAAGAATTCCACATAGAATGGATGGAGCGGGAACCGCAGCCCGGCTTCAACGGAATCCAAGTGGAGCATGATCATCCCCGGACGTCTCCTCATCACATGCTCAGCGCCTCTCACGCTCCAGACGAACGGCGGGGGGAAGAAAGTACGGATTTTGTTGAGGGCCACGCGGGAGAGGACTTGGTCGTGGTCAAGGGCGCTCCTGATCGGGCAGATGTGGCGCTCCATATCCGTAGGGATGCCCAGATCATGCACCTCCATATCGGAACCGGATTCGGCCTCCTCTCCAGAATCGTAATCAGCGGGACGCTCGTTCAGGGGGACTGCGTCAATAACATCTACTGCCCCGTCAGTATTCCCATCCCCGGCGTCGCTCCCACTACCTTGAGAAGCGTCATCCGGCTCACCATCAGCCCGGATGGTCCCTACCGTCGTGGCCGAACCAGGGGTCCCAGAAATACTGGCCTTTCCGGGGGAGCGCGCACTCACATTGTCCGAAGAGGAGCCCGAAGAGGAACCCGATGAACCGGAATCAGAACTTGACGAAATCTCCATCGAAGTCATTTCGGCTAGGAATCAGAACAAAGAAAAGAAGCAGAGGGGGGAAATTACCTTACAAGGGGATTAGCCGAATTCGGAAGCGGGGAAGAAGACTTGAAGAGCTGTGGAAATTCGAAAGCAAGAGAGCAGAAATTGGGAACCCTAATCCAGAGGGAAAACCCGGCATTTATAGGAGAAACACCGATGGGGGAACCAACGAGGGGCTGACACGTGGCAAGGAGCGTATTCCGGCTCACGCGCTGTGTGTGGGGCGAAAGCGTAATGATGACATTTCCTCGGGAAATGCTCCGCCGCTACAGCAGCCGTCACCTCGTTTCCTGAACCGTCGACAGCTGTTAAGCACCATGACCACGAGCGTACGCTTCCACCGGATGCAATAAACACAAGTACCAAGACACGAACGTCTACTTCGAGGGACTTCATACTTCCTTATGTCCTGCGCATGCTCAGAACATCAGAAGTGGGGGACTTGTGTTGGGTTAATGGCCCAAGCCGAGGTCCGGCCCATTAACCCCTTTTCACAAGACATACGTCCAGTTAGAACACAAAGGGACAAGAAGCAGGCCCACGGGCCATCAGGGATGACGACGAACGTCTCCTGAGCAAGCCCGTAGTCATCGGAGGAAATCCAGTCCACATGGAGAAGAATCCATCAAGGCCAGGAGACGAACAGCCAAAACCTCTTGAGGGTCACTTGGAGCGATCCAGCTCGCTTCCCAGGCGGACGAACGTCCCCATTATTTAGGCGGGAAACCTAGATTCTGGCGGGAAGTGCATTTAATGCTGAAGATTTGGTGGTTGGGACACAAGCGGTCCACAGACCTCCACGTCAGCATGGCCACCTGCCCATTGGCGGGTATAAATAGAAGCATTTATTTCATTGTAAAGGGTTGGCAACTTTCTATTCATAGCATTCTAGCAATAGTGTTCTTAGTGGTAGCATCTACACTACCTCATAGGACGAACGGCCGACGTGCCCTTTTAGCAAGTAGATTGTACTTAGGGGAGTTATTACGAAGTTAATAATACCTATTTACATTGCCTGCTATTCCCTCTGTTTCCTGATCCATCTGATAGTTGTTGGGCTAGATATTCACATACTCATACATTCACTCCACTCAAAATCTTTGGGCTTACGTGTTGGGTCCAAGGGTTGAAGGAATAAAACCTCAACAGTTATAATATTAATAATAATAATAATAATAGTAATAATACTATGATAACTTTTAAAAGATAGCTATACATTCAAAGTGTAGCCCGTTATATACATTTATGTATACAAATTTCAAGCTCATTTGTAATAAATCAGAAATATCATAAGGAGTAAGGATTGTAAAGGAAGAAAATAATTTTAATTCGATTCGTGATTTGTAAATCTGAAAATATAGAATATAAATACGAATACAAATCATATTTTTGGTATATCTTTCAAATATGAATACAAATAATTATGTATTCGATTCAAAGAATAAAATTAGAGTCGTTTGATTATGATATATACAATTATCAACTTATTTCACACATTATAAGTATAATTTCTAATATTTGTGTGTTAATGGTTATCTCAGAAAGTTTGAAATAGATTTATATTTATTAATCATAAAATTGATTGCCTTTAGTATATTGTGCACAACCTAAAAATGCATCGATCCATTAAAATTTAAAAATGTACTCTTACAAATTAAATTTTAAAAACACGTATTAAGTCTTTTAAGTGAAAAAGACTTTTACAAACATATACGGAGTATAAAGTAAAAAATATAAGAAAAATTACTTTAAAGTGATATTTGATTAATATTTAACTTATGCTCAAATCGATTCGATATTCGTATATGATTCGTTAATTATTTGTATTGTTAAACAAATACAAATACAAATCGAAATTAATATTCATTTCATATTCCAATTCGGATTCATATTAAAAAAAATTAAACAAATACAAATACAAAATCTCACTATTAAACTCGATTCGATTCGTATACTAACTCTATCCATATCTAGTCGACTAAGGTCATCCCGCTTATTAGGCCCGAACCACCAAAGGTCTATCTATGATGAGTGGAGTTGAACACCTTTTTGATGGTCATCATGGGCTACGAAGATTTTTTCTCATCTAGAGATTTCTTCACAACTGTCCATCCGTCCAGAAATGGTACGGTTCTTTACCGGGTGGAAGCATTGAAAACTTCCCGAAGCTTACACGAAGGTTCCTCTTGGCTCTCTACATCTAATACTCCGTAATGCGAGGACTCGTCAACGCCGGACTAGCCCCAACGTCAAGGGGTCGGTGACTTTGGCAAACGGTTCACCCACCCGCCCGTTTCACATTAGCAGCACACCAGGTCTGACCCGCTCAACGACCCGTTCAAATTCCCAAAAACACCCACTTCACTGCAGTCTATAAAATTGGGTTCATTCCCAGCATTAGGAATTTATCAAAATTTAAGAACCGTATTGTACATTTTCAATTGAGATTTTTTAAATGGCAAGAAAGGTGAATATGGCTTTAGTTATGGCTATGCTATTCGTTGCAACCTTGTTGCGTAGCTCCGCCGCCCAGAGCAACCGAGCACCGGCGTCGGCTCCGGCGGCGTCACCGGGCACCTCCTCTTCTGGCGGAGGACGGCAAACCTTTACGGTTGGAGATGGTTCGGGTTGGATTATCCCTCTCAGTACAAACTTTTACCAAACTTGGGCTGCAAATAAGACTTTCAGAGTCGGCGACTCCTTAGGTAATTTTTACATAGTACGAAGTACTATCGTATTTTATTATTTTAGATTAGAAACACTGCCTTAATCCGTTAATCGTATCATGAAAAATTCATTTTTTCTAAAATTTTACACAGTTTCCCCCCCAAATTTTACACACATTTTTTTATTTGTAAAATTAAAAGTGTTTTGTCAAAATGGGTTCACCCGCTTCCTTCCTAAAACTAGGGTAAAGTTGATTTACATCTTGAAAGTAAAAATTATACGGTAAAAATTTACGCTGACAAAAAATTAGGAGCAATTTTAACTATATACTAATTATTTTAAATAGAAATACTTAAAGTTGACACACTACCTATATTCAAAAAAGAAGTTGACACACTACCTGTTTTAGGGGAGTTAAAAAATAACAAATGATAATATTTAGGATATAATAAGTGGAGTTTAAAAAAGAGAAAAATGGGAAATAGAAGAAAATGTAGAAAAAAGAGAATGAGAAAAATGGAAAAAAAAGTAAGAAAAAGTATTACGTAGTAGATGTTAAAAATATGAAATATAAGTAGATAAATTAAAAAAATGTCAAATATGAATATTAGTCAAAAAATATTTTTGTTTACTCTTACGTAAAATATTGAAAAAAACGCTTCCCAAAAATTTGGAAGGAAAGAAAAAAGGAAAATTTATTTATATGTGATTAAAACATTCACAATTATCATATTTCTTTCGGGAAAAAACATTCATATATATAAATTGAACAAATTTAAATTTATGTATGTGTAAATAAGAAACCTAAACTTATACGGAATATATCTATATATACTACTGTTTTACCCGGGCGTTGCCCCGGGCGGAGGTTGTGAATGTTTAAATACTTTGTAAGATAGATATTTTATAGAATATATAAATAATTAATCATTTTACTTCAAATAACTTTTCGTTGATTGTGAATACTAATTTAACTAAACAGAATATATTAAAAAGTGACATTGTAATGTAACACCGCACATACCAAACATCGCATTGTTAGGTTTAAATTGGAAAACCTCTTTATAAACGACATTCACTGAAACGCTATTAAGATATTCGACATTGTACATATCAACATGGAAAGTAGTACCGGTGTGTGAAGAAATAATATTAATTGAACTAAGATATGTAACTCCTAGCTAAGCCATCGATCAACGATATCACATAGTTAGATACTCATGATGTTTCTTGGTGTAACGTCTAAAATCTTAGAACATGCCTCGTGTATCAGCATAGCTTCATCCCATATAATCAAAGACGCGACATGCAACCATTTTGTCTTCACACTTGATGAATATTGTAGGTAGCGCGACAATATTTATGGGAATAGGAAAGTAAAGGATGAGTTGAAATTAGCTTTAATAGTAGAAGACGTAGATGGAATTTATTTAATATATATGACTAATAATAATTACCTGCATTGTGCATTTTATACAAAATTTAGACCTCAACGTGCTCTTGTGATTTCATTTATTGGAATAAAATGATACAAAATCAATATATATACTAAACATGTTGATTTTTACATTAATCGCATGTCCTACTTTGGTTATATTTTATTTATTAATGTATTAGACATTTTTGAAAAATATTGTTCAATTCGTCCCAATTTAAATTTCCTTTTTTTAACAGGAAAAACCATATTTTATTAAAAATATTGAAAGTACAAACCCTAATGAAGGGATAAAATTAGAGAACAAAATAAGCTAGAGAAAATAAAAGAGCTAAAGATTGAAGAAAACAAATAAAAACCCGTCTGCTCAAATTGATAAAGCCTAATGAAATGCCTGCCATCTCCTCTCTTGGCAAATCCAAACTCAATTTCTCAAGTAGCCCGAATGTATAAAGTCAAGTCCCTTGCAAATGACCCTTGCAAATCCCGCTTACCCAAACAACAAAATCCTACTGATGATCCATTTTTGCTTTAATGCGGGCACTCCTAGGAATTGCCTAAAAGCCGGTAAAAGGAATTTCTGGTTCAAGTAGGCGATCTAGCAACTCCCGATCTGTAAGCATCTTGTACTTAATTACATCTTGATAGTGTATGCTCTTCGGGGGAAACAACTTGTAGATGTAATTCTTCAATGATCTCCTCTTTACCAGTTACCACCATTTTCAGCACACGTGAAAGAGTGTTCATGAGAAATATTATTCTGCTTGTATAAACCCTCATTGGTGTTTTCTGAATCAGGAACAGAAAGATAACCAATTCTAAATAAATCTTCCTGAAAGAATAAAGAAGATATTGATTGCGTGCTCCCATAAACGAAATCCCCAATCTCAGATTTAAGACCAAGAATCACAGAATCATCTAGCTTTAACTGTCTCTAATGCTTCTTTCTTCGCCTCTTTTAGAAGATCATGAGCCCGTTTGGTAGCACCAAAATCGGCTGTTTTGGCTGATTCTGCTGAAATTTATGATATTCTGGCTGGAGTGGCTGTTTTGGCTGATTCTGCTGATTTAAGAAAAAAATATTTTAAAAATATATTTTATTAATAAATTAAAGAAAAAATTATATGTAAAAATAGCTAAAATGGTCCTCTACAGTAACTTCAGCCAATACAGCCAGAAAAGTAACTCCAACCTTACTTTTTCGGCTTATTACACAATTCAGCGCGCGAAAGTTACGTGTTTGGTGAAAAAGCTGGCTGATAAGCCTGATAAGCCGAAAACAGAGTTCTCCAAACGGGCTCCATGTAGATTAAAAATAGTAGAAGAAAAAGGTGAAAACCCGTACCCTTCCTACCCTCGGGTATAATAATAGTAGAATTACCCCTATTGTCAATTGCCACTAAACGAATAAAACCTCGAAATGCATTTTCTTCGAAAGATAGGTTCAATTTTCGGAAATTGTCCTAAATAGGACTAAAAAGTTCCTAAAAAGCACAAATAGGACTACTATTTTTAAAATTCCCTAAATAGGACTAAACATTGATTTTCTACCCTAAATACCCCTAAGAGTATTAATTCATAATGAAATGCTTTAATTCATAATAAAATCACAAAAAACGTAAAAAAATATTTAAAAAACGTAAAAAAATTATAAAAAATTTATAAAACATTTATAAAATAAAAAATTTAATTTTTTATTTTTTTAATTTTTTTTTAAAATTAATAAAAAATAGTAAAAACCCATAAAAAATGAAAAAAATTATGGATACCTTTCTCACCGCCTCCCGCCGCCTCCCAGCACCACCACCTCCGATTGGTGAAATTTCTTCCACTTTTGGTAAAAAAATGCCATATTTTTCTGAAAATGCCAAAAAGATGGCATAATTACTCTTCAATATGCCAACATTTTCATTGGATATGCCATCATTATGGCATTATTTAAAATGTTGGCATATTTTTCTCCGGTGATGGGAGATGGTGGTGCTGGGGTGGCAGGGGTGGTAATTTTTTTTTTTAAATTTATGATTTATTTATTTATTTTTTTTTTTAAAAATATTTTTTTTTATTTTTTTTAGAAAATATTTTTATTAATTTTCTATTATTGTTTTACGATTTTTAGTATTTTTTTCGATTTTTATTAATTTTTTTATGATTTTATTATTAATTAAAACATTTTACAAGTTACAAGGGTATATTTGTCCAAACACACATAAATAGTCCTATTAAAGGAATTTAAAAAATGTAGTCCTATTTGTGCAATTTTGCCACTTTTTAGTCCTATTTAGGGAATTGACTCTTCAATTTTCGAGAATTATCATACCCAGTGATTTACCAAGAGTGTTCGGCTTGAACCAGAGAAAAAGCATTACATAACCAATCGAAGCCACTCTCATCAAAAGAAATTGAGCTATATTATGGTAAAGTTTGAGTTGACTGATTTGGAGCAAAGAACCTATTACGTTGAAGCAAAATTTTTTGCTTTCTACTCTAACCCGTAGAGTATACAAAATTTACGTTGAAGCAAAATTTAAATCTCATTTTAAATTTAAATTTCCAAAATCTCATTTTTTTTACTTACAACGAATTATATATATTAATAATCAAAGTAGTGTGTTGGCAAACATGAAAACGGAAGTGTTGTAACTAAAAATGAACGTTGAAAATGTATAAAAGAGAAACTTTTTGGTAGCATACAGTTGGCCATGTCATTATTATATACTTCTAACTAAATCAATTAATTGTTTAAGATGTAATAGAAAATACTAATCCTATAATTTTATGGAGAATATACAAATATCGATAAATATGATTTATATTTATTTAGGAGAATCACACAATGTGTATGTACTCACAATTTACTTACTCCTTCCGTTCTGAAAAGATTTGTCAAATTGACTTTCCTTGATCAATAACAATTAATTTTGACTAATGATATTTTTTAATACGAAATTATTTAGAATATGAAAATTGTATCAAAATGTCCCTTATTCGAAACATTTTCATAAAAGTAAAAAATTTATAAATTATATACAATATAATAATTAAAAACATTGTCTCAAGTTTGCCATCATTGACAAAAAATAATCAATATGGCGAACCTTTTAGGGAAGGAGGTAGTATTATATTATACTTTATCAGTACTATTTGAATTTTTAATTTGAAAATCTCAATTCGTATTTTTAAATTCTTCTCCGATATTAAGTGTGATTTGAAGGTAGTTTTATTAGTAAATAAAAAGTGTAAAATTTTATAATAAATGAGAAATTATATCAATTAGGTTTTCATCGTTATATCTTATGTTTAAAATACACGGACATTTTCATCGCATATGTTTCAACAAAATTATTGTTTTAATTGGGTATCCTATATAGAAAACTAATCATTATAATCTTATTACTAATAATTAATAAATATAAAAATCACTTTATTTTTTGAAAATTCAATTTATTCTTTTATGTGTTTTTTTAAACAAAAATAACTAATATTATCAAAAGCAACTTAGTATTGTAGAATAGAAAAATTATATTGTGCATATGAATAAAACTATACAAATATGAAATAAAATTAGTGAAGTTACTTTTTCAAGAAAAGTTATACAGAGTATATTAGAATTAAACTAATGATTCATATAACATTATAAAATATGGAATGAAATCCAACATTATAAAACATTCCAAATATATATGTGCTCTATAGATGGAATGATTATATAATTATTTGTAGTTCATTTGGAAATTGATGCTCCATAATAGAGTAATATTCCAGTCTGGATATCCTGATCGGAATCGCCGACCGGCCGCCACGATTTGAGATGGTTTCTGGTGGTTTTTTCTTGATGAAATTTTGTAAGCATATTCTACATGAAGTTTACATTATATCCACAAACGTTCAACTTAATATTCGATTGGGAAGTCAATTAAAAAAATATTGAAAAACACTATGCCAAAATATTTATGTATGTATAAAATGCAGTATTTTCAATAATTTATTTAACTGACTTCTCAATCAAGTTTTAAGATGAAATTTTGTGGACATAATCTAAACGTCATGAAGATTGAACAACATGCTAAAAAAATCATCAATAAAAGCACCAAGAACATCCTCAAATTGCGGCAGCTAGATGGCGGTTCTACTCTGGAATTCCGGGGGTAAACTTTTCTTCTCCGTTATATACATAAATACTATGAATTTAAGACTTAATTGAATTAATATGATGAATATTCACTATTTGGACTCAATAGTAATCAATTGAGTAAATACTATGAATTTAGGACTTAATTGCAATTAATGATTATTCACTAATTGGACTCAATAGCAATTAATTGAAAATTCAATTTCAATTAGAAGGCTGTACTTTATTATTAAGTAGGTAGATGAGTAATGATTAAATTGAAAGGAAAAAAAAAGTAGTACCTTCGTCCCGCGAGAAGGTTCTCATAGCAAAACGGCACGGTTATTTAGGTGATAATTAAATAAAGTACTTCGGTATATTTTGAGAAATAATTTTAATAGGTATATATTACAATGTGTTAGTATTGATAATTGTGATGTTATAAATGTATTATTTGTAATATTTAATGACTAATTTATCACTTAAGATTGTTAATTGTTTCCTAAAATGGAAATTGGAACCTTCTAACGGGACGTCCAAAAAAAGAAAGTGGGAACCTTCTAACGGGACGGAGGGAGTAATATAAAAGCGCATACATATAAAACTCAACTAATTTAAGAATAAAAAGTTATTTAATCATACTTCTATTAATTTTCTTCCCAAAAAACTACTCTCGATGACTCTCATGTATGTGATTTTCCGTGATATTCCCTCCATATCACAACAAGTGTCTCAATTGTTTTTTGGGTCGTATTAAAATAAGTGTATCACTTCCACTTTCGGAAATAAATTCACCTTAAAAGTAGCTACAATACACTTTAATAAAGTACAAAAAATGTAGCTACATTGCTATTTGCTACGGTACAAAAAATCATAATTTTTAAAAAATGTAGATTAAACCTATAAATGGTCTTAAATTACGTGAAAATCTGACTGAGACCCTTATTCTAATATGGATAGAATATAAGATTAGAACACATTCTTATGTACTACGTACTACATCCGTTCTTAAATAAATGCAACATATGAAAATTTACATTATTCACATGTTCTACTTTGACTACGTTTTATTTATTAATCTATTAATATTTTTTATGAAACAAATATTGTTAAATTTGTTTAACTAATACAAAATTTTTTATTTAAATTTTTTTTTTTACTAATACAAAATTATACATAGTATATATTAATGGTCAAAGTTGCGTCTCGTCAACTGTGAAATGTTGACTGTTGCATTTATTTAAGAACGATGAAGTATATAATAATAAGGCATATTATATGCTGCCCGTACCATACTAATAATAATTTAATATTTTAAACTTTCATCCTGAGTATTTAATTTCACTATTTAACTTCTTATAATGGTATGTACGACAGTGTTCAACTTTACAAATATACACAATGTGGCTGAGGTGAACAAGGCATCTTTCACCTCATGCAGCAGCAGCAACTCAACACCTACAACAGTCAGCCCATACAGGAAAACCCTCACCGCCCCCGGCGAGCATTTCTACATCTGCACAGTCGGTACTCACTGTTCCCTTGGCCAGAAGCTCGCCATCAATGTCACTGCCGCCGGCACGCCCTCATCGGTCCCCGCACCCGCCGGTACCCCGCCTTCCGTCCCTACCTTGTCCCCGCCCTCCGTCGCTGCTGCACCTTCATCCGACCCTAGCAGCGGCCCTTCCGCCACATCTCCAGCTGCACAGCCTAGCACCGCTGCGCCGCTTATGGCTGTTGCTGCCTTGCCGGTCACTTTGTTGTCTCTTGCCTTGGCTCTTGGGTATTAGAAATATACTACGTAGACAATACACAGTATTTGTATTTATTATATTCACAAACTTTTTTGTGAGGTTCATAACTTTTGACTTTTCTTGAACTTTTTATACGGTGTATCGATTTTACTTTATTCCAGTAATAATAACGCCATTTCCTTATTTAGCTCATAAAGGTTTTATTTTTAAAGCACAATTAACACTAGCTAATAATTCACTTTTATTGCATATTTTATAAAAACAAGTTTTTTTTTTCCAACAATACTACCAAAATAAATGGCTTATAACTACCAAAACAAGGACTATAAAAAATAAGGACACCGGTGGGCGTAGCTCAACTGGTAGTGAGGGAGTGCCACAAGGGTTAGGTCTCGAGTTCGAATCCCGGCAACTACGATGAGGGGTTACTATGCTGAAAAATGCATAGGGCCTCTGTAAGTACCGGGGACAGAGCCCCACTCTCTATCTGTCAGATTGTGATTATAGTCCAATTTACATCCTCCCATCGTGCCGTCCGGTCGGTGTTGGGGGCCCTCAGGGATGGGGTGTCATCTTTTTTTTTTTATAAAAAATAAGGACATTCATAAAAATACTTGTTTTGTGTAACACGAATTCACATTGCAAATTGACACGGAAATCAACATTCATGAGCACATACCAAAGTGCGTTATTTAAAATAATTGATAGGTTTGGCTTGCATCAAATTTGATGTGATACTAATGCGGACCCAACTCTCCAGTCTATAAAATTGGGGTGTCTGCCTCATTCGGTCATTCCCAACATTAGGAATCGATCAAGAATCACATTTTCAATAGAGATTCTTTAAATGGCAAGAAAGGTGAACATGGCTTTAGTTATAGGCTTTTAGCTATGCTAGCTACTTGTTGCAACCTTGTTGCATAGCTATGCTACACAGGGCACCCGCGCACCGGGGGTCTGCTCCGGCGGCATCACCGTCTGCAGCCACCCCTTGACAGTCCTCTTGTGGTGGAGGACTGCAAAACTATGATGGGTGTGTTCTCGAAGAACAAAGAGAAATAATTAATAAAATTAATTTTCTTTGTGGAAATCCCGGCTTATCGTAGTGAGGACTAAGGGATAAGCCCACCACAGTTTTGTCGTCCCCCACTACAAGAGCATTAATAAAATTAATTTAATGGGTGACATTTTCGTAAATTATGTGCAAATCTCGGTTTCGGCTAAAAGAGCATTAATGCACTTTTAGTGAACATCACACTTATCCTATTAAGTATTAGGAGTCCAATATTGATATCGTGATTTCTGATTCATATCTTCTAATACAATAATTTTTTTGTTTTTTTATAAAGACTTGCGTAGTACTCCGTATTAAATTATATCTATAATCAACTCCTATAGATTTCAATATGAGAATATAATATAATATGATACTTTTGAAATATGCACCATTTTAAAATGAGCGTAAATGAAAGTAGACTGAAATTTCCTTAGAAAGAATGACACAAATATTACTTCTCAAATATCCCTACTCCCTAGCCGAGATGAATGTTCGTCCCAGGCTTCCTCCGCTCAATCTTTTCTTCTTAGGAAATTTGATCTCTATTCACAAATGGTTTAATATCTCTATTCACATGCATAGGAAATTTGTTCAGAACTTCGAAAGAAGCTAATACATTCTCAAGAAAACAGAATTTGGGAAGAAATTACAATTGAAATTGAAATAATTACATAAATATGATCAAAATAAATTAAAGATGATTTACAAAAATATGATTAGTGACTAGAGTAGTAATGAAATCATAGTAATTCATGTTCAAGTTTTGAGCTTAAGTTACCACAACACCACATTGTAGTAATGAATAGTCATATATATGTAAATATGTTTTATTTTAGTAATATTATTGTAAAAAACCCATTGAAATTTAAGAAAGTGTATCTCTTGGATTGGAAATCTCTACAATATTATAAGAGGGAATTTTGTTAGGGGTTAAACTGTCATAATAAAAATGTTGGTGTCTCTTGATGCATAATCTGATTGTACTTTATATTTACTTGGTTGTACATCCTTAACACGCTGGCACCTTTCAACGTTATATCCTTAATTACGACTGCACTCCTCAGCGTTATACGGAGTATCAATCCTTAGCTCTTCTATTTCTAATTTTCTACTATTCATTTATTTTGTTGAAAACTTTTCAGTTTCTCTCTTCGATTTCAGCCGCTGCATCCTGGCCTCGACCTCTGGAGGGTTTAGCATCTCAAAGGTCATAGATGGTCGATTGTAAGTAATTTTCCGCAGCTCTTCAGTGAATTTTCCTCTTCTTCTCTGTTATAGCCTTGTGAGTTTTTTCTCTATTCAGCCAATTTGCATTGTATTGTATGGTTACTTGATTGTTAGTGTTCTCCGCATCATCTTGTTTATTTCCCTCTATCGTTGTTCTGTACGGGCTCCTAGAATTGTTTATGATAGTAGTTTGGGTGGTGATTCCAATTGTACTGTGTAGTCTCCCCTTTATATTTGTGCAATCTGTGTGTTTGTTTAAATGTCCAGAAGTAAGTTGTTTTGTGCGTTCTGATTACATATTGAGAAGATACGTCATTTATGTTGAGTTTTAGTTTCCCGGGAGTTAAAAATTTCCTGGACAAAATTTTCTCTGTTATAAAATTAAATTTGCTATAAAATGGCTGATTAGTTTCAGCTCTCTGAGTCTCTCATTCCCAGTTATCCTTTGGGCTAAATAAAGCGGATGTGGAAAATGAGCGAATCCATTTTGGGATTTCAATTACTGAGTACTGAAACTATAAAGCAGTTCTCCAAATATAAGTATACTGGAAAGCTCCAGCATTTTTCCGAAGTCTCCACCCCAAAAAAAATCATTCTTTTTCTTTTGTCTATCTCAATATAAACTTTTTTCCCTTTTACGTTTTTTTTATATCTCTACTCCATAGTACTTGGTCTTTTCTTTTGTTAAATGTAGAGAAACAAATGTTTGTATTATGTCCGTGTGAGTAAGTACCCTATAAACAGAACAAAAAATAGTCATCATAGGAAAAACTCATGTTTTTGCATGCTTTCCCGTATGCAGCTTTTTCATATTGTGATGTTCAAACCATTGCCAAATATCCAACTGTATTGCTTATGCGTGTTATTGTTCGATTTCATTCCTGACTTAGCAAATGTCACATGATTAGGTAACAATGACGTGGCACAACTGATACATGCGCTTTTATTAAACACTTTGTTTGTATTATTTTCAGTTTTCCACCTTCTATAGACTAATTTAACCTTGTATGTGCTTTTTAAAATCTTTTTTAGGCTGGAGAGATTGTTGGCAATTTGAGCTGAGCGTGTTTCCTCTTGGGGTAAGATAATTTTCCCCATTCCATTTTACCTATGCATATCTTGTCTGCTGTTTTAGTTAGGTTTTTCAGCAGTGTTTCCTTAAAGAAAATTAATAGTCATATTAATTGTTTATCTTCTTTGCTTAATCACAGGGGAAGCGAATATTTTTTGACTTTAATGGTGTACATAAGTCTGGTTTAGCTAATAAATACTACGTTTTAAGTAAAATGAGAATTAAATACTTATAGCTAACAAAGTTGACTATGTTATTGAGTTGGAAAGGAGGTCTCCTAATTGAATTCGAAGGAATTGATACATAAGGAATCATGTGCAGTTGTTAACCTTAGTTTAACCAAATTCTTTTCATTTAGGTTCCTTCTTTGTTCCTCAGATACATACATAGAGTTTGCAAAGAGCTACTGAACAATTTAAAATATGAAGCGAGTGTCCTCTGGTCATTTTTCCCAACACATCGTTAACACACTTAGTTCCAAATTGGTAAAAAATAATAGGTAATTAGCTAATACATTTAAAGTTCTATGATTCTAGCTCACTAGGCTCAGGAGAAGAAGCATCAATGTCCAAAAAATTACAATTCTGCCGTGTTTTTCTATCAAAATTCTTAGGGGATGAACTTCATGGAAAAATCAAATTACTCACAGTTTTCCTTATTAAGCACACTTGTTGGCTTTTTATTTATGTGAAATGACCGAGAAATTTACAAAATGAAATGTGTTTGTTGGCATCTATTTGGGCCAAATATCAGTTTTGTATCAGTATTCATTATAATTTTCTTTTTTCTCTTGGACAAGATAGGAAAATGTTCGCTTAGTTTTCTTTAATAAATGTTTTTTTTTGCACAAAAACAAATATAAATTGAAATTTGTATTTCCCCTACCTGTGAACTTAGAGCCCACTTTTTAAAATTTATGTGCTTGTGAACTGAGTTAGCCTGTTGATGGTAGCTTTTTTCCCTGCATATGACACTATGAAGTTAACATATGGATCCAACTTCATTTGGAGAATCTCATGTTTAAAATAGAAGGGTCACTATTTAAAAAAAAAACGTAGCTGCGGCAGATATTTAAAAATAGTACATAGAAGTATGCCGAGTAGTCTGACCAACTGCCTTTTGGCGATTGTATGAAATATGAATGCATGGTTTTTATTTTTTAGGTCTTTATAATATAAATTGTGGCTGAATATTCGTTATATATTTCTTTTTCTTCTTGATTCAGATAGTCAAATGTTCAATAAATAAAAATTATAAATACGTTTTTTAAAAAACAAATCCCCTACCTGTGAACTTAGAGCCCACTGTGATTTGTGCTTGGCTTACGTTGTTCTATATTTTGCTTAGCCAAGGTAATTTTGATAAATTATTAAGGGACTGTTTTATGGAATGATTATTTTTATGGAATGTTTTTTAAGATCAAGTTTCTCTGTTTTATGGAATGATTTTTGTTTTTCTTTTTTGTGTAAAATCAAGTTTTTAAAAGACTCTTTTTATGAGATGGAGAGATCATCACAATCACTCCTTCAGATGTAGTAAGTAGTAACATAGTTTTGGTATTGAATGCTTTTTGCAGGGGGGGATTTCCTACCCTTCTTTTCTTCCCGGTCGGAAACAAATATGTGATACGGAGTATTTTGTTATGTGTGGATGTAGTTTGGTAAGATGTATTCAATAAATATTACATGGGAAACACTTTGTGATATTGACAAATCTTTTTTATTGTTTATGATTCTTTATCAATATATAACAAACTATGTATTCAAATATTGTATTCATATCATTCATATATTCACTCAACCTAGAGTCCTAGACCGATGAATTAATGTCTCTACAGTCT